TTAACTGTTCAGAATTCCTTTTTTTTCCTCTTCCTGGATTTCCTATGGCATTTCCTGGGATCAGTGCAACACACCCTGATTTCCAGAAATGTGTATTGGAGACCCAATACATGCATTTTCTTCAAGGATTTGGTAATATCTTGCCTAGAGAATTTGGGGTCCATCCCCTTTCCAGCAGGAGTGTTCCCTACCCATGGATCCTCCCACACTCCCTGTGTGCACTCCACTAAATGTGCCTGCAGCATTTTCAGACACCTTTACAGGAACCAGTCCTCCAGCTGAGCACATTTCCAAAAAGGAACAAAGACACATTTACCCAAGCAAAAGAAATATTTGAAAATTCAGATGATTAAATACAGCCTGCTGTTCATTTTACCTCTGTGGTCTCTGCTAAGTACCATAAATCCTGGTTTCCCTTTGAGACAAATTGTCACATTATAGCCCTGCTATACAGGCATACACACATTCCTTGCTATAAAGAGAAGGAGAGAAATCCATGCCAGATTAGGACATATGGAATCTCTGTTTATGGATAAATCATTTTTAAAACCCCTCTCTCTCTCTCTCCATGAGTCATGTGTGAATTGCTTAAAGTGTCCTGTCAACAATAGTTTATTTACATGCAGAACTAATTAGCATTATTATGGCAGATTGTAGAAGCAGGATTATAGCTGGAAGAATCATCAAATGAGTGATGCCATTTTAGGAAGGTTTTGGAATGGAGGTTTGCAGGTCTGCAGCCCAGAACTTCATAAATTGGCCACCTTCCAAAGCTGTCAAGATGAAACCCATTTTTAACATTTCTTCCATTACTGATAATATTACTTCACAATTAAAAGCCTAGTCCTAATTTGTATTATCTTGATTTTTTTTTGTAATATGCATTTCAGAGTAGAGCCTGATCAGCTTCTTTTGCTTGTAGCCCACTTTGTCAGTTCCGTATCTTAGCACCACAAAACTGAGTTTAGATTTCCAGTACTACAGATCCATTAATAATTTTTTAAAGCTTTAAACGCCCTAAAACAATTATATTCTCTATTTGAAGATTATTTAAAGTCAGCAACTAAATTTTAAACTAAATTAAATTTATATAGCCTCTTTAGGTTACTGAGCATAGTACATACAGCTACTCTGGGACTTGCCTGGACCTTTCATCATTAATAAGTGGAACAAGATAATTACATGCTCCAGTAGCTCTTAGGGGTCTAGAAGTTATCACCACATAACCTGCTTTATAATGCAGGAAGAAATCATCTGTGCTAGAGCTGGGGTATAATTCAAAGAAATTTCCATAAATATATAAACACTGTGAAATGAATTCATGTGATGTGCAGGCATTTCACTTCAGAGCCGCTAATGTGTTTGCCCATTAATTTGTCAGGAATGTTCACTTTGATTTGCTCCATTTACCTTAGGAGGATGTTCAACAGCAAAACAGTCAAAACTGCAAAATTAGTCTGCAGAAGGGCATCTCAGGTGAGTGCTGCTGAATTTGCTCGGAAAGGTACACGCACAGATGTCTGCCCAGGCAGAGGAGCCACATGCAGAAAGAACAAGGGCCAGAAGCTGCCCTGAGCTCTGGAGGGGATCTCTGACTCCACACACACACTTGACTGAGGGAGATGCCTCCTCCTTTGCTCCACAGAGAGAGGATCCCCCCTTCCACCCTTCTTTTTGGCAGGATGACTCCCCAGGCAGACACCCTGCTCCCAGCTTGCTGCCTCCCTTCTGGGGCTAGACCTCCACACCAGCCGGGACAAAGCACTCAGAAAGCTCTGGGAAAACTGTCACATTATTTGGAATTTCAGTTAATAATTTCTTTCTGGCTGGTTCCAGATTTCCCTGGGATTATTTCCAGCAATATTCAGACTGTGATGGACAAGTTTTCCCTGCAGAGCTTTGCAGAGCTCCCTTCACAAGCAGCAGCTCTGTGAGAGGGCACAGACTCCCCGCCCTGGGATGGAGCTCCCTGGGGTCAGCAGGCAGCTGCCTCCTGGACCAGGAAGGAGCCCTTTGCTTGGAGATGCTTCACTTCTCCCCACAAGCAATAAAACAGTGATTCCTCAAGCCTTCTGCACCCCTCTGGATGGACAGAAACCCCTACAAGACACGTGAGCTCTCCAGCTGCTGCAGACACTGGCACAGCTGTGGCACTCACTACGTAACAGCTCACTTTGCTCTCTGTCACCCTTGACTTTCACACAGCCCCTGGCTCAGGGGGGATGCAGGGGGACCTGCCAGGTCCCCACACAGCCAGCCTGTGCAGGCAGGTCCACACAGCTGGCTTGGGAGCATCACCCAACCCTGTCACAGCACCAGGGGCTGGAAAAGCAGAAAGCAAGGCCAAGATTAGGAACAAGCAAGTGGAAACCTGCACAGCCTTGGGCATCTAGAAATGGTCTGAAGAGGCATTAGATAAGCACAGGTTTTGCCATCTGAACAACTTCTCTGTTTCTGTTTGGTGCAGCTGTTCACATTTTGGGGTGTTTTGCTGGATGGTTTGAGGGGGTTTTTTGCAAGTGTGTTCCTAATATTTCCTCTTGCCCTAATTTTTCCAGTTTCTGACCATTTTTAACAGTTAACAACAGCTAAGCAATTACAAGATTTGAACCTGAAGAAGTTGCATTGCTCAGAAGCCAAAAGAAGTTTTAGACTTGCTAAGAACTGAACTTGATAGCAGTGAGGGACAGAACCCGTTCCAGTATCACAAGCATTTCAGTGGGCATTACAGGACTACACTGCCTTGTCCTCAGTGAAAGATGACTGATGCAAAAGCCCTGGGCTGGAGGCAAGAGATAAGAATACTGAGAAGAGCATTGCCACCCTTACTCACCTCCTTTGGGATCTAGAAGGGGATGCTGCCATTGGGAATGGGTGTGAAGAAAATGGAAACAAATACTGGGGACCTCAAGAAAGTATTTCCAAAGCCCACCAGGTAGGATTTCCACACAAGTTGACAGAAACAAATGCCCTTAAAAGTTACTTTCTTCACAGCACCACCCCACAGATCCATTTGGAATGGCAATACCCCCAGATTCTCCCTCCCAAAAGGAGGGCAGCCAGATCTGCCCTGCAGGTATCAGGCAGATGTGCTGGGCTGGGCTCCCAGCAAGGACCACTGCTGTTTGCTTTGCACACTCCCAAGCTGATATTTGAAACCTCAGCTTCCACTTACTCACATCTTCAGAGAGATACCTTTGTTCCCTTGCTCTTGGCATTTTGATCTCCAAACACTTGAATAAGTAGTGTTTTGATTGTGTGAGGATGAGGGCAGCAGGGATCCTCTCCTGTCACTACAGCACATGCACTTAGTACACAAGAGGCTCTCAGCGAGTCAGGTTTCACTCCTGACATTGGGTTTTCTGTGTGAACCATTTATTTTGCTGAGTTGGCATTTATACACCCTCCCCCTTTCACCATTTGAAATCTGAGACAAATATAAGCTTGAAGCCCTGACTTCCCCCCCCCAACCCCGAAAGCTAAGCTGGTGTGGCCACCCAAATTCCAGATCAAGCTGCTGAAACCCCATTTCACTCTTCATAAAGCGTGTAAGGTCTGCCTGGTGCTGGTTCCCACATTCCTGATCCAGGCAAGCTGGATTAAAGTTCCTCCCTCACAGCCTGCACCTCTCCTCCATGCATCTAAATTTACAGGGATGAATCCACACAAAGGAAAGCCTGGACAAGTGCAAACTAATTTTTTCACAAATTTAAGTGCAGGACTACCTCCCCCCCCGGCTTTCTCCCCATCAACCAGCTGTGCCCATAAAGCAGAGTCTGACCAACCAAGGCAGGAGTTGAAGGCAGCTATTAAATCTGCTCCCTGGAGCTTTAACACTTGGAGCAATTTGTAGTGGAATTATTCTCCCAGCTCAGCTTGCAAACCACCTCCACACAGGGTTCAGTGCTGGGGTTGAGAAACCTGCCCTCTGCCAATCCTTCCTCTCCAGAGGAGGGGCTCAGATGGGCACACATCCCCACACTGCCATTCCAGCTGGCAAGGGAGCCCAAGTCCAGCCTCTTCTCCTTCTTGAAGCACGTTATTGTTAGGGTAAGCTAATCTGCCAGATATGCCAACTGTCTGGCAAGCAATTCCAGCAGCATTGTTTGTTTAGGATAGGACTGGGCTCTATGAATCCAAATTAGACATGGGTTTTTTGTAACTACCTCAGCCAGGAATGTCTGAAGGTGTGTTGGTCTTGAGGAGGCAGGGAAACAGCAAAACAGGCCACAAGCCTAGAGCTTTATAAGGGTTTGTGTGTGTTTCTTTTTTTAGTTATTACCTCGCCTCCACTTTAGATTCTCTGGGAAACCAGAGTGCACCTATAAACCAAATTCTCCTTATCATCACAGAACAGAGGCATGGATTTGTTTTTCAGCAATGAACTGCAGAACTCAGATTGTTTATTGTTTTGGTTCTCTTGTTCGTGGTTTTTTTTTTTTTCCTCCCTCTCCTCTGGAGGGCCCTCAAACACTTTACTGGTGAGCACTGGGAAAGTGAAAAGAGGAGTCCATCAGTACTTCAGCTCTCCCTTCACTGCCACCTCTGCCCCAGAGGAAATGCAGACCCTCCAGTCTCAGTAATGACCAGAGGATGAATTGGCTGGTTCCTCAGCAGAGTCTGGAGCTGTTCTAGAGCCCTGCAGCCACCCCCATCCCACTTCCACAGCTCTCAGGTGTTTATGTATATATATATACATATGTATATATATATATATGTATATACCTACACAAAGCATCATGGAAGCTCACAAAAAACCCAGGGAGCTGAAGAGCTGTTGCTATTTCTCTCTAGTCCCAGCATTGCCAAGGAAAGGCAATAAATGGGGACTTAGTTGAAATGAGCTGGAGCACTTCTTGCTCCATGCCCGTGCAAAGCCGCCAACGTGGAAAACCTCTTGCACCCAAAAAACATAGACCAGACTTCAACTCAAGGACTAGAAAGTGGCTCCATCATAGTTACAGAAGATGAACATTATATTCAAGTCCAAAATTACTCACCCTTAATGAAAAACAGCCATTATCAGCTCCTTCCTGAGAGCAGCTGCTTTTGGGATGGAGCAGGAGAGCTGCTGGTCCCAGGCCAGGAGCCCTGCAAGCATTCCTGCAGGGAGCACAGCCTACAGACTGCCAGGCAAACCAAACCCACCTTTTGCCACAGCCCCTCTGGGCCCATCCCTCTGCCCAGCTCTGCCTCTCAAATGCTCAATTGCAGATTTCTTGGTGCTCTTTGGCCCTTCCCAGGCTCGTGCCAGGGGGGTGGGGACCACCAGCACATCTCTCCTGCCCACAGGTAGGCAGATCCAACCACTCTCCAGCAGGACCATGTGTCCCTGCCTGCAAATCAGCAAAGTGCTTTAATCAATTAGTGATTAATGGGGTGTCATTTCCCCAAACTCAATCTCAGCCTTTTTGCATTCACATCATTCCCAGGCATGTGCTATGGCAGTAAGAACACACATTTGCTTCCTTAAAAAGCCACAGCATCACTGTAGGTGTTTCTCTCAGCTTAAGGAAATCTCTCTGCAAGAAAACTGTGTGGAATTGTTAAAGAACTTTGTTCACCAGAAGTAGCATCATAAAATACAAAGCACCAACCTGTCCCTGAGCAGCCCAGTGCCTTGAAGAAGTGAGGCAGAAACTCACATAAACCTTGAGCAAGCACACACCAGGGAAAACTGCCCTGAAATTACCCTCTCAGATCTGCCTGTTGAGACAGGGTGAAGGTTCTGTGCAAAATGAACTTGCATTTATTTGGAAATAAATGACAAATGGTTCCATTTGTCTTTTGTTCTCCTGTTAACGCTTGAACCTGGGGATTATTATCCCTGCAGTGCCTAAGGCTTGCAGATGAGGTGACCTCTTCATCTGGACAGGATTTCCTTCATTTGGGGAATACCTTTCATCAGCCCATCCAGCCTTTTCACCTGTACCTTTGACCAAATACTTCTCAAGTAATTTTGAAGAGTTTGCCAATTTAGTTCCATGGCTGGGGTTTAGCTACACGGCCCGGGAACAGGGAGAACTCCTGTGAATGGTGCTTGACAAACAAGATCCACAATATATTAATTAATTCCATAAGCATGAGCTGCAGCACAAGCTCCATAAGAAGACAGTCTGAGTTATCATTTTTTTTAGCTTTAGCCATTTCTAGCCACCTCGAGCCATTTATCTGGTGTCTCTGTTTACCTTGCTCCCTCAAAGAGGAAATGATTGGCAGTATGAACAAATAAAACAACACAAAAGGAGCATAAAAATGTGATTTTATATATCAGTGATATTTGTTATGGATTTGTTATGTTAACTCTCATCACACACATCTGGAGAAAAAGCAGGCAATTAAGATTCTCTGGTATGTAATTTATCTGAAACATCAAGATTTCAAGTAAAAATGGATACTTTGGAGAAGAAAATTACAGTGAATAAAAATTCCAGGCTCCTGTCAACAAGAACATATTCAAAGAACACAAGTGCATACTCTTCTCCTTGCTACCTCTGCAGCAAATGTGGTTATGTGTATTTTTCCATTTCATTTGCTTATGCTTCTCCCTTTTCTTTACTCACTCCAGCTGTTAATTTTCTCCCTCTCCTCTTACATTTAGCTTGTGTTTATAATTAATTGTTTCTGTAGTTGATTATAAGTAAAGAGAAAATGGAGACTGCTTTCTAATACTTGACCCTCGATAGCAAATATCACATCTCAGTCTAATCATTTATATGCTAATCCTAAAAATTCATTTCTTCCATTTAAATCAAAAATTATGGGATGGCTTTGTTCCATCTCACTTTTAATAATCTGCTTGTGACTTTATTTTCCAGTGAGGAGTAATATATTTCCACACTCAGCCTGGGAAAAGTGGGAAGGTTGCTCCTTGGATGGGATTATATTTGTTTCTGTTCTTTTCATTGTCCTGGTCATTAACTCCAAAATCCAGTCATTTAATTCCAAAACTAGCTGTGTTTCTAGTAAGTTTTTTGCCATGTCCTCTTATCCCCAGGCTGAGGTCTTTGCAGAGATGTGGAGATGTGTAACACCCAGGAAGTTCACACCAGTATTTCTCCAGTACTGGACCTCCACTGCACCTACACCTGACTTATCCTACAATCAGCAGGAGGAAAAGCCTCAGGTACAGCAGAAAAAGGAGAGAGAGAGGCAAGAATAAGCTCAGGAAACATACTGAGTCATCCAAAATGCTGCAGAAAATGATTTAGGCCTGGCTGAAACAAGATATTCATTTCTCAGTGTCCTTTTCAGTCTTTCCAACAGATTGCCTTAACCTTGGGCACAGACAGAATAATTTCTTCCTTCACTGCAGTTTCTCTTCTGCCAGAGAAGGAGGCAAAATCCCACAAATGCACTTTGTAAGAGTCATCTGAATAAATGGACAGGACATTTATAGTTCTGCTTTAATATATGTGGGCCTAGGAGATTTTTTCTACCCAGAAATATCCTCACACTGGCATTTTCTTTTCTTCTCACCCAAAAAGCCCAAGATGTTGGATCATGTGACTTCCAACAATTCCAGGAAAGACACACCTGTCAAAAAGGGGTTAAAGTTGCAATACATATAAATATAAATATCACTCTTTATTTGGTTCCAGGAAACATGTTGTGGATTTTTTTCTCTCCCAGTGCAAAGAACCACAAGCACCAAGATCTGTTTTGTTTTCTTCCATTTTCAGTCTTCAGTTTTTCTTTTCCCTTTTTTTATGTCGAGAAAGCAAAGTGCTCACAGACAGAAAACCTGGAGGAAAAATAAAGGAAAATAGGGCTTGAGAAAACTTTAAAAATTACACTTGAAATGAATCATGTTTCTGAAGTTCAATTTTGATTTTGTGGGTTTTTTCCACTGGAATATCAAAATACATGAGGATAGTAAGTTAATAATGTTTGGACTATAATAGAATATTGACCTATTTTGCCTCTGAGAGAGGGAAAGAATAAATCTAGGAATAAATCTAACTCACAGTACATCCTGTTGCAGTCAGCTCTTTTCTTGCAGCAGAGGTGGGAAGGAGTGGCCATCATTATCATCATTATTATGATACACAGAAATGTTGATCATAATTATAGTACATGACAGAGAGAGCTGTGAAGTGCATTTTATTTCTCACAAAATACCCTGGAGGTGTAAAATAGACAAAAATAGGATTAATTAAGTCTCTTTTGGCTGCACATTTCCATGCTGATTTTAAGCACTTTTAAATGTGTTAGAGAAAAATCATCAGTGATAGCAAGATATGCTTGTGACATAAAAATATATATTGTTAATGAAGTTGCTTCCAGGAATGCCTTTCATGCTTGACCTAACAAGGATATTCTAGGTGGTCCAGAAGAACTCTGGACCTGAGGTGTCCCATGCAAGGCTTTGTGCGTGAGAAACAAGCACTGAACCAACACAAAGTGATTCTTTAATGAACACAAACATCTGTTAATTGATATAAGTGTGATGGATGTATTAGCAACTCCAGATCCAATCAAGGAGGAGAGAAAAGCTCTGCTTGCTGATAACAGCCTGATTCATGCACACAGAGGATACAGAGAAACAACAGGTAAACTGAATTTCCAGGTATCAAACCACAGAAATCAGGGGGTGGGGGAAGCCTTAGAGGTGAGGAGATGCTACTGCTTCCTGCTATGGCTGTACATACATGTGTCACCCAAATATTTTACATCACTGCAGTGATGAAGGGTTTTCTTGTGAGGAGAGGAGCCCAGCACCAAAAGAGTCTGGGAACAAAGACAATTTCATGCTCTGGAAGTACTCTGAGAGAAGAGGAACCAAGTATCCAGGATTTTGTCATGAGCAGGGTTTATTGGGACAGAACTGCTCAAAATGCTGCCTGAGAAAAGCAGTTTATTGAACTGGGTCTGAGATGTGTGAGTGCCCAAGCTTCTCCCTCATTTGGCTCTCTAAAATGGACAATATTGTCTTGTAACCTGAAGGGACACTGAGATCCAAGTGTCTGACTCACAATGCCAAATGTGCCCCCTTAGCACACCTCTTGTAGTGCTTTGCCACTTTCTACTGTGAGCAAATAACCTTTTCTTTCACCCCCTCCCTGAGCCCACTCCCCACATTTCCTTGGCATTCTTTGTCCTCTGATGAAACCCTGAGTCCAAGCCTGGGGAAGTTCACACCACACCTTTTCTTGGACTTTCCATCCATTATCACCACATTCAGGGTTTTCTTGTCCACTGGGGTGTTTGTGATGATTGAAAGAACTTACCCTCAGTCAGCTTTGACTTCATCTCAGCAAAAAAGACCCAGCAGGCCTTCATGAACCAGACTTCCTTCTTCTTCTCCCCCACTTCTTTCTAAGTCCCTTCTGACAAAACCAAGGACCCTTGGGCCATATTTCCTATTTATTTCCCTGTCTGAAGCTAATTTGAACAGATGCACGGAGAATGACAGTTAAACAGCCTGAAAAATAGGTTTCCAACCCCTGAGGCAAAGTTTAAACTATTCCTTTTTTTAATTTTTTTTTTTTTGCTTCTATCAAAACAGCCTGAGACAACCCTGCTGCTGAGCTAATGGCTAGTTTAGAAATTGCTGCATTCTCTTGTTTTACTCTTTAACCAGGTTTAGACTGAAAGCTTTGTGTTTCAGATACAACAGAACTACAACAAGAAGTAATTGTACATCACTGTTGGGTATCACCAGGCAAAGAAGATGAAACCATTTGTGAAATGCTTCTATTTTCCAGGGCTGATGTAGCTTGTAAGCTGTTTTATTTCTTCATTACTGCTCTCCTTAAAGCTCACTCATGCAGTTCAGGCAATTCACAAGCAATAGGAACTCTAATCCTGCTGCCTTAAGATCTCATGGTACTTTCTGAAAAGAACCCTCACAAATCAAATTCTTCCCCTCCATCCAATTCTTCTCTCTTGATTTTCCTTTTTTTTGTCTAAGAAACAGATCTGCTTTGCTTCTGGGCTGGAGTTAACCAGAAGTGTTTAAACCCAGAGGCAGTTGCATTACAGCAAGGGACTGCTTTGTTCCTATGGAAATCACCTGAAGAAGAAATGAGAAAAGGCAAAATATCCTTGAACACAGATTATGCCATTAAAAGTGAACTATAATTTCACCAGAATCTGGAAAAAAAAAAAGAAATTTAGA